TTAAACAGATCAGCGATTTCTACAAGAAAGACAAGGCTTTTAAGAAATATAAACTGAGAACTGATTACAAGTTTTGTCCGAATTGGCAAATCGGCAGAAGAAATATCCACGAGTTTGACAATCATTTTATTGCCATTCAAGTGATCGTTCGTCGCTTGAAAATTGATAATTAATATGTATTTTATTTAATTTCCTCTGTATTTAAACATATATTTACCAAATAATACCCTTTCATCTGATTTTTATAATTCTTGTGCGAAATACTTATATTTTATACTCATTTCTAAATAAAATTTATTCATATTTTATCATTTTTTTGCATTCATTCTACAGTGTATTTGATTAATGTTTTATAGGCTATGTCTTATCCTATCAATCACTTAACAACAAGTTTATACATATTTGGTGCGATTAATGACTTAATAATAATGATCAATACAGTACTGAATAGCAATTTTCAATTATTGAAATAGATTTGAATTCGATTCAAAATAATGATAAAAAATAACGGAATGTTTGTAAAGATAGGACTCATTGAATAAAATCCTAGACATTCTTCCGAAGTGAAGACGTGATTGAAAGCACAGATTTTATTACATTTTAAGACACAATCATTGAATTATTAATTAATTACAGATAAAAACTCATTTCTTGTAATACAATGAAAGTAATAGTAATTATTGATAAAACCAATAGTCATTAAACCCTTTCTTCAAAGTTGAGGAATACTTAACATTTGATTCAATATTTGGACACAATTTTTATACAAAAGTCTTTAAAATAGAAATAAATGAAATAAAACTTAATTTTGATTCAAAAGACTTTATTTGGTTTTATTTACAAATAGAGATAATTTTGATATAAAATGCAAAGTCTTTGAACTGAAACTGAGAGCCATTGAAGAGAATCGACATCTCATTCCTCTTCACCTCCAGAGCGCGATCTCCTTCTCCTTCTGCGTCTTCGGCCGCCCTTCGAGTGACCGCGTCTTCGGTGTCGACGACCAGAACGGGAACGACGTCTTCGACATCTGCCGCCCGAACGGCTTCGACGCCGGCGTCGACTCTCCAACACTTCACCGCCCGATCGCAGACCAGATGTCGTCTCCTCTTCGGAATCGCTTCCAACCAATGGATCCATTCTTTGACTCAAAATTTTGTCGATATTTACAGAAATATTGAATTTTCCTAACGTTTTAATGATTAGATTTTTGAATTCAGTTCTCCTTTTTATACCCTTTGGAGACAACAATACAATTGAATACATATTTTATTCAATTGAGTGAACCGTTGATTAAAATATATTTAAATTCAATTCAAATAATTATAAAAATAACGGAAATTCTCTGTAATTAACGGAATTTAACATATTTTTTATTTTTGGATAAAATCTAAGACATTCTTCTGGAGTGAAGATGTAATCAAAAGCACAGATTTTATTAAATTTAAGATTAAATCATTGAATTATTGATTAAATACAAATAATAACAGATTTTTTGATACAATAAAAATAATTATACTTTAATTACAAAACCAATACTTTAGTCATTAAACCCTTTCTTCAAAGTTGAGGAATACTTTCTATTATTATCTCAAATAAGATAAGTCTTGATATGAATGAGAATCAAATGATCTAATGTTTAGATACAGACAAACCGTTGAATCACTAATTCATTTACATTTTTATATTTACAAAGTTTTACAAATTATCATTTGATTCAATATTTGGACACAATTTTTATACAAAACTCTTTAAAATAGAAATAAATGAAAGAAAACTGAATTTTGATTCAAAAGACTTTATTTGGTTTTATTTACAAAAAGAGATAATTTTGATATAAAATGCAAAGTCTTTGAATTGAAACTGAGAGCCATTGAAGAGAATCGACATCTCATTCCTCTTCACCTCCAGAGCGCGATCTCCTTCTCCTTCTGCGTCTTCGGCCGCCCTTCGAGTGACCGCGTCTTCGGTGTCGACGACCAGAACGGGAACGACGTCTTCGACATCTGCCGCCCGAACGGCTTCGACGCCGGCGTCGACTCTCCAACACTTCACCGCCCGATCGCAGCGCAGATGTCGTCTCCTCTTCGGAATCGCTTCCAACCAATGGATCCATTCTTTGACTCAAAATTTTGTTGAAATTTACAGAAATATTGAATTTTCCTAACAATTGATTGAATGATTAGATTTTTGAAATCAATTTTCCTTTTTATACCCTTTGGAGACAACAATACAATTGAATCCATTCTTCACGTTATGCTTAAGTAAAGTAACGTTTAATTTGTAAATTCTAATTGAGTTATAATTTCAGCAATCATTCAATCAATTAGTTTATTATTAGCGCAAAATTTATTTCATTTAACGTTTTATTTGATTTAAATTTGAATAAAACCAAAAACAACTGATTTTCGAAAAATAAATTGAGTTTTTGAATGACAATCGGATTACGAAAATAGTGTTTCAAAAGATGTCTTTTTATAAGAATAATCCGAAAACAGGCGGAAAAGTGGAACCAAAGGACTACAAAGTGAACCAAGAAGTGAGAAGCGGTGACAATAGGGTCCGATTGGGACAACTCATAGATTCGGGAACTTTCGGTGAAATCAGAAAAGGAGTGATTTTGCAGACCAATGAACGAGTGATCGTAAAGTTGGAGCCAAACCACAAGAAACAGTTGGAAATGGAGTATAAGATCTGCAAAGACTTGGACAAAGACGACGGTTTCCCTCGAGTTTACTTTTACTGCCAATGGAATGAATACAACGTTTTGGTGACCGAAGTGTTGGGTCCGTCGCTGTCGGAGATGTTTGACACTCATAACAGTCAATTCAATCCGAAGACAGTACTCTATATCGTCTTTCAATTGATCCATCGAATTGAGAAACTGCATGGACTCGGGTTTATAATCCGTGACATAAATCCCGATACTCTAGTGTTGGGTCCAAAACAAACAAAGAAGGAGAGTATCGTTCACTTCACTGACTTCTCTTTAGTCAAACGCTATACTTCGGACCCAAACAACCCTCAAAAGCATATACCGATGACAAGCGGGCATTCGCTGAACAGTTGGCCGCGTTATGCGAGTATTAACGCACATTTGGGTCTAGAGGTGTCCCGACGCGATGACATGGAGTCCATCGGCTATTTGATTGTGTATTTCGCGACTCACGGAAAACTTTTGTGGACGGATCAGGGATTTACGGGAGATGTTAAGCAACAAATCGGCGAATATAAAAGATGTACACCTATTGAGAGACTGTGTAGTGATATTCCCAACGTTTTCGCCAAATATCTACGAATTGTCCGGAATTTGGAGTTCGACGAAAGGCCAGAATATATGAAACTAAAGCTTATGTTTTACCAACACTTTCTCGACTCTGAGCTCGAAGACGATGGTCTGTACATCTGGTCCACGAATGCGCCCAAATAGACCATTAGGTGTTCACATCATTTCAATATTTATTATATTATTTTCAGGATTTTATTGCATTTCAATTGATTTCAGTTATTTTAAAGATAGTATTAAATTGTTTCCTTTTATTCACAAATAAATTTCATGTAATTTATATAAATAAATACCGGTTTTAAAATAAATGGAAAAAATAACAAACATTTCATATTTTCAAATAAAATCTGAAACATTCTTCTGGAGTGAAGATGTGATCAAAAGCAAAAATTTTATTGAATTTAATAATTTTGATTAAAATTTCTTTATTCATATTTTAGGAATGTTTTTAACCTCAAATTTTCCACAACTCTTAATGTATGGCAAAAAGTGTTTAATTTTAAACTAAAAATGAATGCATTTTGAGGTTCAGTCATATTCTGGAAATGTTTTAAACCCTAAATATTCCTCAACTCTTAATGTATAGCAAAAAGTGTTTAATTTTAAACTAAAAATGAATGCATTTTGAGGTTCAGTCATATTCTGGAAATGTTTTAAACTCTAAATTTTCCACAACTCTTAATGTGTGGAAAAAGGGTTTAATTTTAAACTCTAAATAACTACTTTTTAAGATTAAACTATTGATTAATCGCTGATAACAAGACAAAATTGTACAAAAACATGATAGTCCTAACCATTGAATGATTTTTGATTCAACAATCTTTGAAATAATTTCATTGAATAAAAATACATTGAATTCATTGTAAATTATAATTTAGCCAATTATTCAATTGATTAATCAATTAGTTTATTATATAAAAATTCATTTTAATTCCCGTTTTATTTGATTTAAATAAAACATTTATTAGAACCGGTGGTCGAGACCAGTCTATGAAGACAGTTGTGTTACGTAAATGATTAAACATTTTTAATGGTTTATTTTTCAGTGTTTTGCCGATTTATTCACTGAAATATTACGAAAATTATAGAGCATTTAAATTTTATAAAAATTTATTTTTTTATTTTAATAAAAGTAATAAAATTATTAACAACAGAATTAGTGAATGATTGCACTTAATATGTAATGAATTGCTAAAGAATGGACAGTAAGGGCACTGATAGCTACCACAGACCTGTGATGACGTAAAAACAAAACCAACATTTCTTTTAATAAAAGTTCTTTAAAAAATCAAATAAAAACAATTACTTCACAGATATGAAGGGCATAGAGAGCGAAGTCGTCTACTATTTCCTCTTTGAAAAATTCTGCAAACAATAGAAATATATATAAGAAAAACTAAACGAGAAAATTATGGTAAATAACTGATGGCAAAACCTGGTTCATAGAGATCGTAGACCCGGGCTTTGAGCCAACGCGTGAGGTTCGCGACGGGAAACCATCTCTCAATCGAGAACTCAACACAACTCCAATTGTTGTCGAGCTATAGATTATAATAAAGTTATGTTTTTTCTTAAAATTATTGAAAATAATGAATATCTCACGTAATCGAAGATAAAAGTAGCGGATCGGGGCATCACTTTGGCCTGACTTAGTCGGGGAACAGAGCGGCGCTGGACGTAGCGATCGATGAGAGCCTTGTTCTGCCAGTAACCGGTCGGTAGTGTTAACTCCATGACCGCTATTCCGCTGGTATTCCGCAATCGAGTTAACGTCCATTTGGCGCATGACTTGACCGCTACTCGCGATTTGTTTCGACCCGAAAACTTGAGGTCAACGCTGATGTCAAACGCGTTGACCGACGGCTGCAGTAATTGGAATTCTTGGTCGACATTGTATTGAGTGGTCAACTGAACGATGGCCAGACCCGCGCCTTTGGCCGTCACCGACACGAATCCCCATACGTTTGGCTCAATGTTTATGATTTGCTGATTTGTCAGATTGTTCTGCGATATGCCTATAGTTGTGGTGATCTCTGGATTAGAAGAGGCCTCCACTTCGAGTCTCATATTAGTTATGGATCGGACGTGAGTTCGGAACGAAAAGTCTGTGAGCGCCTGAACCGCAACTATAGTGTCAAATGTTGTAACAAATCCCTCGTCGTATTGTCTCATATAAGTCAACCATTTGACGATTTGATCCTGAATTATACCACCAAAACCCGTGTAAATCATTAACGCATAAGCGGTTCCTAAAGCGTGTAATAATATGAATGAAATATAAATTATATTTATTATAGCATTCATTATAACATTAAATTCTTACTGACCCTCAACTGCAAGCGATTCGTAAGACTGCGGATTCCGGGGCTGAATAAATGGTCTCTGACTCTGGTATATGAGACCCGGAGGCTATTCGTCATAAATAACAAACCATTGTTTTAAATCATTTTACAAATGCTTTTAGTCTCACTTTTATCTCGACGGCAGACCAATAGATCATTCCTTCGGTAGATCTCTTCATTGACTCCAATTGATTAAAACCAAACTTCGCGTCCGGACTGCCGGCGCTCATCAGAGCATAGGTTGCGATCGCTATCTCATAGGGAGATGTAATGGTTTGGAGGCGTCTCTCCAAGAAATTAACCGCCGATTTCTTGGCGTTGGATATTTTGACGCCTAAATCGCCGTAAACACCCAAATCTGTCACTTTGACTAACGTTATCAACACGTGGGCCGTGAGAGCGACGGGCGTCAGACGGGGCGACGACCAGTTCCTGAATGTCATGTCTTCATAGAAGGAGCCCTCATCATAGCTCCGGACGTCTATAATCTGACGCTTGAGGATGTATTCAATTGAATTGTAAATAACATTTGGGTCGATGTAAATGAAATTATGCCAATCGTCGAACTGGGCGTCAAAGTAGACTCTGGCCGCGTATGCCGTCAGCCAAACCGAGCTTTGCGTATAACTCATGTCAAACATTACGAACGACCCGTCCTTATAGAAAGTCATTTGGTGGACGTAATCGCGATTCAATTCTTCGAGTATTTGTTTGGACAGTTCCTGTTTGTCGCTGTCCTCCAACTGATTGGTCAGTCTTAGGTATATGAGTGTATAGAGTCGGTACGCGAAGTCAAAAAGTCTCAACTCTCCGGACTTTGCCGTATATTTAATGCCTAAGTTTGTGAAATCAATTCTGGGGTTGAGTTTGGCGGGCACTCCCACCACATCCCCGATCACTGTTACCCACGCTTTTGGCGAACCAAACATATAGCGACGGTAGATGTCTTGGTATGGAATAATGGGATCTTCGGTCACATTCATGTCCAAGTATTTAATAATATACGACTGCGCTCTCAGATCCAAAAGCATGGATGTGTGCAGAGATACCTGTGCGCCGTCGGCCAACACTTCCACTTCTATCACTTTTTGATCCTAACGTAAACTTATTAATAAAACACTATTCCTATAACTAATAAAACTAATGTTTACTTTAGCCACTTGTGTGCGACCAGTGATGATAATCTTGATCTTTCCTCTAGTGGTTGGCACAACAGGTATGGGCACTAAGAATGATGAATGAGGTTTGATATAAATGAGGTGTTGATGAACACCACCCGATGTTTTGGGCGAATAAGAGGACACCCGACCCATAGGTCCCACTTCAACGAAACGATAATCCAGTGATTCTTCTAATATGATGTCCGCCTTTGAAAATTGGACAACTCGTCAAATTTTATTCATTGATACCATGTATTAATCAAACCATCACTCACTCTGATCTCATAGGGCTGATAGTTGAATGCGGCCACTCTTATACCCAACTGTTCCCCTAAGACCACAACAGACGGGGCCTCCACTGTGATGAAGAAGGGACGGACACTATTCCACTGCATTTTAATATCATATTAACACTGTTTTTAGTAATTCAAACAACTGAATCACAATTAGATTTATGTCTTACGTAAACAAATTCATCCATTATAGAGAAGCCGGTGCTCTCTCCGACACCTATAGCGTTGAAACGCCAGTTGACTGGCCGTTGAGGCACTGTTAGGCCCACATAATTATCCGGATTATAACTGGTGAATGTGTCAGTCCAGGCAAAGTTGTCGCCATTCGCTAAATAAAAATAATTGTTTCGATTCTTTCGGTAAATTATAAAATCGGAAATTATTGTGCTGTTTGTGTCCACTATTTCGCAATGCATTTCATCGCTTCCGTCGGCACAGTCTTTGGTTCCGTCGCATTGCTGGTGAATCTCATAGCACTGATTGCCCGACAGACACATCAACGATAGGAAAGTTGCGGTATTGAAGTCATTTCGGATCGTAACCGGTCTCTGGAACTGATTCTGAAGCGTTTGGTTATAAGATAAGTCAGGATTACAGCGATTGGATGTCAACGATATCTTCATGTTTGTGAACACAATCAATGTATTGAACTGAAAATAAATGTCATTTTATTATAACAGTAAACTCAAATTCAGAAACTTTTGAAAACTATTACTACTGAATGTGAAATTATACTATAATTATTATAGTAATAGTTAATACAGTTTAAAGAAACTTCTTTAACAATCAATAAAATTAACTTACAATTAACAAATTGTGATGTTTAATTAGAAAATTTTAGTGTTTTAAAGTATTAGTAACTCAAAAGTATAATTATAACTATGCCTATGCCTATTGCCTATTGCCTATTGCCTATTGCCTATTGCCTATTGCCTATGCCTATTGCCTATGCCTATTGCCTATGCCTATTGCCTATGCCTATTGCCTATGCATATTGCCTATGCCTATGCCTATTGCCTATGCCTATGCCTATGCCTATGCCTATGCCTATTGCCAATTATAAAAAATTGTAAATTCTAACAGAATTAAGTTTAATTCAATATAATTAAGAAATGGGCACTGATTTAAAATGCAAAACACTTCAAAAAAGTTTGTAAAAGTAAAAAGTTAGGAAAGTTAAGACAATATAATTGTGCACTGACTGCAAAGGTAGAGCCGGAATCCCTGGCGGTATTGTGTGTCAAATAGTAGAGCGCCTTCTCATCGATTCCTTCTCTGGTTTTTAATATAACTTTCTTT